CCCCCCGCCCCCCGAGTGCACAAATTTTTGTACACCGGGCCTCTAGTATATATATAAAAGCCTAAGCAACCATAATGCTGGAACAACCAGAACAACCAGTCGCTATGATGTACACTGACCACCAGGGGGCAGATGCTCAATGCAGGAGCTGCCCTCTGGTGGTCAGTGAACTCCCACAGCCAACCTCCTGTGCCAGCCAACCTTCTGTGGTCCCTCCCCGACTAATATTAATATATACAAATATATGATTATTCTATATATGTAATGGTTTAATGATTATCGGTGCTTCATGTCTAAAGAACCCACAAGCCAGCATGAAGGATCTCCCAACCCACCTGCCGGCCCCGATGGCCCCAATCTGGGCCTGTCGGCCAACCTCCTGTGGTCCCTCCCTCCCCTCCGCCAGCCAGCCCCCATCAGTCCCTCCCCACCACTGTCCCCCATCGGCCTCTCTCCTCCCTGGACGGCTGACCCGATTGCCCCGATAGGGACTGGGCACAGCGGCCCTGATTGGCTCCAATGGCCAGCCAGGCCAAGGAACCTCACTCCTGCACGAATTAGTGGGGTCTCTCGGCCTGTCCTGCCAATAAATGATTGTAATAAATTATATCCTATTATATAAACTGAGAATGCATGACTCAATATTGATATCAATGAAATGAATAAACAAAGAATTAGGGGAGAAGTAAAAGCTCTTATTTACAATATAATTCAAATAAATATAGAAAGATTGATGGCATTATAAAATCATCAATGGATGCTAAAATTAGTGAATAAAGTTTGAAGAGATACAGGATATTTACATATCCGGAAAGTATCTCCTCACAAATATTTATCAATAAATGATTGTAATAAATTATATCCTATTATATAAATTGAGAATGCATGACTCAATATTGGTATCAATGAAATGAATAAAGAATTAGGAGAGAAGTAAAAGCTCTTATTTACAATATAATTTAAATAAATTTAGAAAGATTGATGGCATTATCAAATCATCAATGGATGCTAAAATTAGTGAATATAGTTTGAAGAGATACAGGATATTTACATATCCTGAAAGTATCTCTTCACAAATATTTATTAGGCTGAGGGACCCCACTGGTGCATGATCGGGGCTGAGGAAGGATGCAGGAGATTGGCCAGCTGTGGAGGGACCTTGCAATTACAAAGGGAAGAATGCTAACTCTATAATAGACAAATTTGGCAGACACCATCTTAAGAAAGTGATCAAAGCTAATATCACCAAATAGAACTGAACACTTAACTTATACTACTCAAAAACATTAACTCAAAATGAATTAAAGACTGAAATGTAAGACCTGACACCTAGAAAAAACATAGGGAAAAGCACCTTGACATAGGTCTTGGCAATATTTTTGGGGATATAACTCTAAAGCACAGGCAACATAAGCAAAAATAAGCAATTGCCACTACATCAAACTAAAAAGTTTCTCAAAGCAAATGAAACAATCAACAGAATGAAAAAGCAACCCATGAAAACAGAAGAAAATGTTTACAAACCATGTGTCTGATAAGGGATTAATAACCAAAAAGTATAAGGAATCATACAACTCAATAGCAAAATTCAATTTCAAAATGGGCAAAGGTTCTGAATGAACATTTTGCCAAAGACATACAAATGGCCAATTGGTATAAGAAAAGGATCTTAATATCACTAATCATCAGGAAAATTAAAATCAAAACCACTATGAGATAGCACCTCACACTTGGCTTTTATCAAAAAGAAGGGATAACCAGTGTTAGTGAGTATGTGGAGAAAATGAATCTTTGTACACTATGACTGGGACAGTAAATTGGTACATCCATTAGGGAAAACAATATTGAGGCTGCTCAAAAAAAATTAAAAATGGAACTACCATATGATCCAGCCATCCCACTTCTAGATATATATCCAAGGCAAACGAAATTAGTATTTTGAAAAGGTATGTAGACTCCCATGTTCATTGCAGAACTATTTACAATAGCTCAGATATGGAAACAACTTAAATGTCTGTTGAATAATGAATGGACCTAATATGCAAATTGACCAAACGGTGGAAGGACTGGTGGAACGACTGGTTTCTATGACACACACTGACCACCAGGGGGCAGATGCTCAATGCAGGAGCTGCCCCCAGCCCTCAGGCCCCAGGCCAGCCAAGGTGGGTGGTAGCAGGGGCCCCCTGTACGCCCCGCCGGTTGCCCCGCAGATCGGCCCTGATCACTGGCCAGGCCTACGGACACTACCTGTGCACAAATTTTGTGCACTGGGCCTCTAGTATATATATATAAAAGCCTAAGCAACCGAAACGCTGGAACAACCGGAACGACTGGTCGCTATGATGTGCACTGACCACCAGGGGGCAGACGCTCAATGCAGGAGCTGTCCCCTGGGGGTCAGTGAACTACCACAGCCAACCTCCTGCACCAGCCAACCTTCTGTGGTCCCTCCCCCCACCCCACCTGCCGGCCCCGATGGCCCCAATCTGGGCCTGTAGACCAACCTCCTGTGGTCCCTCCCTCCCCTCTGCCAGCCAGCCCCCATCGGTCCCTCCCTCCCACTGGCCCCCATCGGCCCCTCTCCTCCTTGGCTGGCTGACCCTATTGCCACGATAGGGACTGGGCACGGCGGCCCCGATTGGCTCCCATGGCCAGCCAGGCCAAGGAACCCCACTCCTGCACGAATTAGTGCAACCATGGGGTTTCTCAGCCTGGCCTGTGGGATTGGGCTGAAACCAGCTCTCCAACATCCCCTGAGTGGTCCTGGATTGCGAGAGGGCGCGGGTCAGGCCGAGGGACCCCACTGGTGCATGATCGGGGCTGAGAAAGGATGCAGGAGGTTGGCCAGCTGGGGAGGGACCGCGGGAGGGCTCCAGCGCGTGTCTGGCTCGTCTCACTCAGTCCCAATCAGCTGGACCCCAGCACCAAGCTAACCTACCGGTTGGAGCATCTGCCCCCTGGTGGTCATTGCACATCATAGCGCCTGGTTGACCAGTCAACTGTCTGCCCCCTGCTGACTTCACATTTCAATTAAGCAATAAAAAGTGTGGATTCTGCTTTTTCTCAGGGCTACGGCCAGCCCTCTATTTTCTTAGAGTGTGTAAATAAAGCCTGTGTTTTCATTTTTTATATAATCTTTCTTTACAGCTTAGAGAAATCTGTTTGGAGTGAGAAAAGACCACTTGGTGCCAGCCGTGAGAACCCACAGATGTCCACAGTAAATCTACAAATTTCTGTTTGAAGAGAGAGATAGCACAGAAATGAGGGGAAGAAGCTCAATAAAACCAGGGAAAGACAAAAAAATTTAAGCTAATATTGTCAATATAGGAATAAGCCATTATCATGTGCTTCATATTCTGCTGCAGTGGGACAGACACAACTTCATTTCTGTGGTATTTCTGCCAAAATGTATAACTTGAATCTCATTATGAAGATATATCAGACAAGCCAAATTGAAGAACATTGTATAAAATAGCTGTTCAAAACTCTTCAAAAATGTCAAGGTCAAAAATACCAAAGAAAACCTGAGGAATTTTTTCAGCTTAGAAAGGAGACAAATAGACAACCAAATAAAGTGGATGATACTGGGTTGGGGGAGGGGAGGGTAGAAATGACTTTGGTACAATTGACAAAATTTGAACATGGACTATGGATTAGATACTAATATCAATCAGTGTTAGTTTCCTCATTTTAATAAATGCATGAGTGAAGGGGATCAGGATATTTTCCTTACTCCCTCCAAATATGTCACTTTGGAATAGGGATTATTTTGTGCTGAAGGCATTTGAGTTATTGAAATTCCTTGTCTGCCTAAAAACAGAGCCTCTCAAAAGAACTCAATTGTCATAAATTCCCTGCCCTGAAGCAACTCTAATCTTCTCTTTTTAGGAAAGGAGAAGTCAGCACTAGAACTGGACAAACATTATCATATGCTATCTTATCTGCCATCTATTTTCCCAAGGGCCATTTAGCTTTCCAAAAAGTCATTTGCTTTTCCACAAGTGCTCTTTATCCCTCTCCCTTTTCCCTACTGAGTTAGGTATATAGACCACAAAAATCTAAGCACCCTTTTGAGTTACTCATCTCTGAGTGCTCCCATACGTATGTGGGATACCCCTGCTAATAAACTTCCTATTACTCCCTAAATATTTCTTAATATTGGGGAGGGAAAAATAACTTTTTCTCCTACTCATTTTCGGTTCTATTAGCCTAATGGAAGACTGATGAACAAGAGAAAAATTTTGAACTTGTCTTCCATTAGGCTAATAGAACCGAAAATGAGTAGGAGAAAAAGTTATTTTTCCCTCCCCAATATTAAGAAATATTTAGGGAGTAATAGGCATGATGTCTCAAATTTAATGTCAAAGATATTTGATAGAAAGGAAGTACGTAGTGGCAAAATGTAATTCACAATTGGTAAATCAGGGTAAAGGGTATATGGTAGTTCCTTGTACAATTTTTGAAAACTTTCTGTAAATTTGAAATTATATTAAAATACAATTTATAAGAATATCAGTAGGAGATAAAGGATCAAGGCATTAGAATTCTAACACATTAAATAAATTAAGATAAACATTATTTTTTACATTAGAAAGTTATACTGAAAGATAATCAAATGTTGCATCTTTAAAGGGCAAACACCATGCTCTTGATGGGGCTTATAAGAATTAGATCAGATTGTGAATGTAATATCCGCACCATAGTACCTGTTTTAGAGGAAGACAAGAGAAGCTTTGCTGCTGTTGTTATGAGTGCTGTAATTTTCAAAGGCAGTTATTCTCAGAGCTTCAGTGTCCTAGTTAACATAACAACAATACAACGCCTACCTCACTGTGCTGAGGGTTCATTGAGATACTGTGCATTGAGCAGTCAGCATGCCACCTCACCTCATCAGATGGTAGATCCTGTTATTATTTAACTGATTCCAAGTGCAGTCTCTCTATAGACAGAGGCCTTTTACAACAAACTTTATGAATTCCATTTGCCTCATTTTATTCCTCTGGGGAAAGAACATGAGGGCCTAGTACAGGACCAGGAGAATGAAACTGAGTTCTTTTAAGTTTTCCTTTTATGTCTGATCATTGAGTTCATCCTCTAGCCCTCAAGGAGGTGACCTCAATATGATGAAATTAAACCAAGGAGGATCAATGCTGTCCTTTGAAATCTTTAGGACATTTCCCAAGGCTGGGGCCAGGTTGGCCCTACCTGGCAGAAGTTTGTACTCGTGGTTCATCTAGTGAGAGAACTGACTTATAAATGATCGGCATCATTTCAATCATTCCCTGGAGTCATGAATTTTCATTTAAATTATAACCAATAGGCGAGTGCGTAAGAACTACTCTTTAAAAAGCTGTCATTTTTTTAAGGATGGCCCAGCCTATTTTCTTTTTTGATGTAAATATTTGAAGCCAACAATGAAGGAAGGTGTTTAAAAGGCTTTTGTCACAAGCTTATGGACACCTTTCGGTTGTTTTCAGTATGAATTTCATTGGCCCTCTTTTTGAAGAGATGTTGAGAAATCTTGCTTTCCTTTAAGGCAGGGAGATTTCCTCCTTTTAGAGGCCTATGGAAGCCGCAGGAACAACATCAGCCACTAGAGGGGAGTATTCTGCACCAACTGGGCCACAAAGGCTGACACCTTGAACACCAAGCTCTTCCTTGGGCCCTGAGAGAACAATGTAAATGAACACGAGGCAAGAAAACAAGTTGCCATGAATGGGAGCTGCAGGTGTCTCTCCTGAGCTTAGGAACTGCCACAGGCACTTGATGGCTTGGCACAGCCGTGCCTTGCTTACCCTCAAGGATTTGTGGGGTTAGGGAAAGTTATCTGTGTCTCCAGGTTATTCATTTATTTATATAAAATCAACTTATTCATTCCACAGGTACTTATTGGCACCTACAATGTGGTTAGCATTCTTTTAGGCACTGGGGATAGTCTTAAACAAAATAGATAAAGTTCCTGCTCCCGATGAGTTTATATTCTGGTTGGGGAGAGATAGATAAATAAGCAAATATCTGCATATCAGGCGGTGCTAAGTGCTATAAGAAAATTTAAGCAGACAAGGGGTTAGCCCTCAATCGGTGGCAAGGGATTGCTATATTGACTAGGGTGGTCAGCTGACCAGGGTCTGAAAGAAGGGCCAGTGCAAACTGTCGATATCTGATGAAATAGGGTTCCACAGGGAGAACGGTAAGTTCAAAGGCACTGCGCTGAGAACATGCTGGACATATGCACTATGTTTATTTGGGATAATCGGAGATGGGGTGGTGGTGATGGAGATTATGGGGAAACTAAAGTCATATTTTGGCCTAAACAATGGCCCTGGCTGGTACCAATAACCCGGACTCCCTTTTACACACATATTACAAGGAAATCATTACTGTAAGGAACACTGCCATGCTGGGGTGACATAGGGTAAACCATACCTGTTTTCTTGGGTTGCACTAGGCCTTGAGGAATTCTGTTAACAGAAAGGATATACCCATCTTCTGTTGTGACTTCATACTCCGCACAGGGATAGCCTTTATGTTGGATGATTTCACTCTACAGAAAAAGCACAATTTCTTTTGAGTTCGGTTCTGTAAGGCCATATTCTCAATTACCCCAGAGTAAAAAGTTGATTTCTTGATGCTGGAAGGCATAAACATAAAACTCCTTTACTTTAGCTAATCATGTTATCTCAGAAATATTGGCCAGTGCTCTGCAGTTCTTTCTGGACCAGAACACTGATTCTAAAACCTGGGTGTGCATCAGAATCGTCTGGGGCACTTAAACTTGCAGGTTCCCGGGCTGGCTTTGGGTTAGGGATCAGATAATTCTAATGCAATCAGTGAGGCACTTGTCTTATGAGAACACCTGGGCTATGCATTTCCTCAGTTTCTTTTCATCTTTAAAACCACAGACTGGGGAAAAAAATGGTTTTAACCTGAAATCTGAAAGATAAATAGGAGATAAGGGTGGGAGTGATGTTTAATTACTATAGTTGCCAATGCTCATTTAGTATCTACTATATGCCAGGTAATTCAGTTAGTATTATACATACGTGATCTTTTTACATTTCTTGCAATAATTCCATGGAGTATAAATCATTGGTATACCTAATTTACAAGTGAATAAACTGAAAAATAGGGATAGGTTAAATAAACTTCTTAAAATCATATAGCAAGTTTGTGTTTTAGTGTTAGGGCCAGGATTAAAACTCAAGCAATGGGACTGTAGGATCTTTCTCTTAACTATGATGCCTGTTTGCCTTATATACTACAGTGGACATTTGGTACCTGACTTTCTCCTTTTTTATTCCTTTTAAAGCAGCAGCTCTTGGAAATAATTCCCTACTTCTCTAGATGATGGCAATGGGCAAGAGCAGTGAGAATACTTTAGATCTCTGCAGCTTCCTATTTAGAAAAACTTTCCTAAATTGCCTAGGTCAGGCAATGTTTTCTTTTTTGATTTCACTATTCATGTAATTAGTAATGTGTCTCCCTTCCCTACTTGGATTGTAAGCTTCATGAAGTAAAGGCTTTGATATTCTTAGATTTCTCTGTAACCTCAGTGCATAGCACAGTATCAAGGGCCTAATAGGTGTTCAGTTAACACTAAGAAAATACATAAATAAAGTCAATTTTATATCAAAATATAAGATAGATTATAGCCATATAAATCAGTATAGAGTCAAACCTATTCAGACTCTGAACCGCATTCATCTATCTCATTTACTTTATACCGGCAATCATTTGAATTTCCTATTTTACTTTGCCTCTCTATGCATAACTGCTCAATGTCAGAAATTTAGTCTTAGGGCTCCTGCAGCTCCAACAGTATGCAGGTGCTGTGCACACACAGTGGGTGAGGCTCAGGGAGATCACCTTGCCTATAGCTAAAGGGATTACTTCCACCCAGTAACCCAGAGGAATGGCTTCTAAGGACCCACGCCAATTTGCTAACTCTCTGGACAAACCACCAAAAGACAGCCAATCTTTGGAATGATCAAAAGAAACCTGATATTTGGCATCATGTAGATTCAAAAGATTTCTAGGACCTGTCAGAGTTATAGAATCCATTCAAAGGAGGCTTCTGTAAAAAGGGTCTTAAATCTGTATTTAAACATGTTAAATCTATGAGAAATGTATGGATTGTGAATACTACACGCAATCATCTCACTCACCGGGAGGTAGCTTCTACTGCTCACCCAGGAGGGTTTACTGCATGCTGGTTACAATTATGTGTTTGGGAAGGCCTGCTTATAAATTATAGCTCTACCATCTACTGATAATGTGGCCTAATTTAAGTTGTTTAACTTCCTCAATCTCAGTTCCTTGATTTGAAAAATAGGGATGTTCATATCTATTGGAAGGGCAGTGAAGATTAAGTGAAATTAGCATTTCTGCAGGTTTTATTACAATATCTTCTATGGGATAAGTTATCATATGGCAGACTTTGTTAAAGCTCAACTAAGAATTTGAAAGTAGGCAAAAAAAATCATTTGGGATATCACATCATTTATGAATTTTACTCACAGGAGGCCTTCTCTAGCAATCATTAGGGTTCGTTTATTTATTGTCTGTCAACAGGATAACAATGGAGTTATTTCCGGACCAGAACACTGATTCCAAAACCTGGGTGTACAGGTTTTGAAGGGTGAAGGGTGCCACCAGAAGTGGGTGCCCTAATAGTAAGAAGTGAGGGATAATACTTTTATAATACAGTATTACAGTTGCCAATGCTCATTTAGTACTAATGAAAGTAGAAAAAGAATTTAAAACACAGACAAAATGAAAATAATGGAGGGTCTGAGCTTGGCCTAAGATACTGCAACGATTTCTCTGCTCATAGAATGAATCTAAGAATTCAAGGGAAAGTCAAATTGTGTTTCAAGACCAAAAGGACTAAGTCATACACCCAAGTTTATTGAATTTGTTTGATGAGAACCCAGTCTACTCACACCCAGTTTAGCAGTTTAGTACTTTACAGTACAATATGCTAATTTATGATTCCTCTGTTAGCAAAAATCACCACCATATATAAATATAGCGCATAATGCAGATAATACACAGATGTGAACATTAACATGTAAGGCACTCCATCCCCCCTAAAACATAATGGAAAATTCAAACTTACAATGTTCATGAACGCTTCGGGGTCCACATCTTTAGTCGGCATACGTACTGAATTCACATTTCTTTGGAACACATACACCACCAGCATCAGAAGCCACATCTCAGTTCTGTGTGAAACAACCATTCTCTTGACAAGATTTTTGACATGGTCCAACATCTGCCTTTACGCTTTCCTGGCAATAAACAACTAATTCTAAAGTCAGAAGGATCTGTAGGTTTAAAAACACATATTTTCCAGCTGTAATTCCTTCCCAAAATTCTGGAGCAAATTAAATAAGCTCAGTTGATAGGAATGAAAGAACACAAAACTGGAATGGAAACATTGTCTAGGATGTCCCAATACCATCTGGCTCCTCCCACTCCCTCACACTATTTGCAGTCACCAATCCCTTAATTTGAAGGCGTGTAGAACTTTCTTTGACGCAACCTGGAGTTATGTGCATAGGATACAGCCCATAACATCCCTGTTCTTCACCGTCAGGTAATAAGGACCATAGGGAGCATCTTTTTCTTTTTTCTTAGTTTTTCTTCCTTCGATAGGTAGAAAGATACAGTCTACAGAAAATAGTATAAGTTCCTATAGTCACATTCTAAGGCTTTAATAATTACTATCCTTTGATTGAAGATCACTGTAGTAATAAATATTTTTATTTAATATGTCAAAAAAATTTAGGACATTTTTTATTTTTAGTGATGGGTGAGAACATTGATTGGAAGAAAATGAATCTTACATGTTAAGGCCGTTTCTATCTAGCTCAACTAAATAGACATGTACAACATTTTTATTTTAAGTTGTAATCACTAGTTAATTGCTGAGAGATTAATTCAAAACTCTCAGCAATAACTAAAATGAATCGCAACCTAGTCATTTTCACTGTGTGGCAATGTGATCAATTCCTTAGACTACTAATATTTAAGCAGGCCAGGAGAATAGAATTTTGTCATTTTAAGTAAAGAATGTGTTAAAATTTAAGAACTATCATTTAAAGTAAAATATTTCTTTACTTTTACAGCAACTCTTTGGGACTGAGCTAACAGCAGTCACACTAATTTGTAGACTTTTAGAATGTGGTTGGCAAAGGAGCCAAAGCTGGAACAGGAATGATGAGTCCATGAGAAAGTATCTGCCCACAGTCTCAGCCTCACCCACTTTGGGCTGGCAGAACCTGTATGAGGTAAGCTGCAGCTCTCATCTAGAATAATTTCAACATTGCCACCTTGTTGATCTGATGCATGCTAAGGAGGAGTGAGTTGACCTAATTAGAGGAGCAGAGGGAGCATTTGTCTAACACTCAAGAGACACATGTCCTGGTACCCATTGAGCACACTCTGAAGTTCTGTATCCAACATGCAATTGTAGAAAAGAGCTTTGGTGCCTACTGTTGACATTTTAGGATTTTAAAATGTTATATAGCCAGGAGGAAAGAAAATCTCATTCGGCTCTTTCATTTCTTAGAAATGTGAAGACATATTAAATGACTTGCCCAACATTACCTTACTAGGTAGTGGCAAGGCCAGAAATAAAATTCAGGCATTTTAATAAACTGTTTATTATTATTCCACACGGGAAAAAAATAATGTGTCAATATCCTCTGCCCTGTGCAAGAACAAAACCCCACATACTATCAAAAGCAATTGCATAAATCTCTGTGAATTATCTCTTTAAAAGTTTTCTCCTGGATTTAAAATTTAAAATAATTTTTGACATCAAAATTAAAACTAAACTACAGAACAACCATCATTCAGAACCACCTGAAATCTAGCTGAATGAAAATCCTATAACTAGGGATTTAAAGATGAAGGCACATTGAGACTAGTAGGAGGGATAGAGACAAGGAATGGGCTGATTCTATACCCACATATGGCAGATAAAAATTAGGAGGGATATCTCACCTGTAGAGGTCCCCCCTGAGGAGTGAGGGATCCCTGCCCCACACTAGACCTCTTCAGCCCAGGATTCCAGGGCCAGGAAGAGAAGTCCCCACAGCTTCTGGCTGTAAAACCCAGCTGGGACTGAGACTGAGGGAGACAGAGGGCTGCTGGAGTCCCAGGCAGTTCCTATTAAAGGACCAGGGCACAGAGTTACTCAGACTCACTCTCTCTGAGCTCCACTGCTGGGGCAGAGGCTTGAAAGGAACATATGGGGAGCAACTGAATTGTCTGGGATCAGGGTGAGGCTGGGGTCAGCTTCCTGCCAGAAAAAAGTGCTGGCAGAGGCCATTGTTCCTTTTCTGAGACACCCTCCCTCCACCTCCCCACAGAGCCAACAGGTGAGTACCACACTGAGGTTCCATCAATCTGGTTTACACTGTTTGCCCAGCCCTGGTGATTCCCTGAGTCCTTTCCTCACCCAACTTGTAGGCTCAAGCAAACTGTTTGCAATGGCTTTTCCATATGAATGTTCTCTCTTGCCTCATGCTTTGGACTTTCCTAAAATCTCTCAAACAAGCAGCATCTGGCCTCTGTGTACCCTCCTACCTCTTGCAAAGTGAACCCAGGCCAGACATTAGCAGCAGTTCACCTTGATTTGCCTTTCCTGGGAACCTCCAAGCCCAGCAAAAGTAGCAGCCATCTGCATATCACTCTGTAGCTTGTGCCAGATGGCCCCAGACAGAGCAGAGGCAGGGGCTGACCTTACACCTCCCAGAAGGCTCCAGAGCCAGTCCACCCAGTGGACAGCTTCAGATGACACCAGATTATAACCCTACCACCTCCATGAGTGACACACTTAAGGGGCAGACTCAGCAAGCACCAAAGCCCCACTGAAGTAAATCCTGATCTGTACAGTTAGCTCCTGCACAATAGCTCCTCTGCTGTAGTTGCAGCAGGTCCTCACAGTTGATTGGCCTGGAAGTCAATCTCTCTCAGTGCTGCAAAAATCAATCAAGACTCAACTACAACAGGACAATGCATACAGTCCAAGAGGGGTGAACCTGGAGTGCTGTGCTTGGGTGAGTGGGAAGGCTGTGCCACTGGACCCTACAGGACATCTACTACCCTAGGCCACTCTACCACGTCCGAGAGATGTATCAGCTCTACCTAATACACAGAAACAAACATAAGGAAGCAGCCAAAATGCAGAGACAAAGAAAAAGATCCTAAATGAAAGAACAGGAGAAATCTCTAGAAAAAGAACTAAATGAAATGAAGGCAAATAAACTGCCAGATACAGAATTCAAAACAATGGTTATAAGGATGTTTAAGCAACTTAGTGAGGACTTCAAGGAACTTAGTAGGAACTTCAACAGCATGAAAAAGGACAGAAACCATAAAAAAGAACCAGTCAGAATTGAGGGATACACCAACTGAAATGAAGACTAATTAATTTACAGGGAATCGACAGTATAGTAGATGAAGCTGAAAATCAAATCAGCAATTGGGAATATAAGCAAGCAAAAACACCCATTAGAACAGAAAAAAGTAAAATGATTCCCCCCAAAAATGAAGATAGTATAGGAAGCCTCTGGGACAACTTCAAGTGTTTCAACATTTGCAGCATGGAGGTGCTGGCTGAAAGGAGAAGAAAGAAAGCAAAAACATATTTGAAATTGCCGAAACCGGTTTGGCTCAGTGGATAGAGCGTTGGCCTGCAGACTCAAGGGTCCCGGGTTCGATTCCGAACATATTTGAAAAAATAATGACAGAAAACTTTCCTAATGTGGTGAAGGAAATAGACACACAAATCCAGGAGGTTCAGAGAGTCCCAAACAAGATGAACCCAAACAGGCCCACACCAGGACTCATCATAATTAAAGTCCCAAAGGTTAAAAACAAAGAGAGAATCTTAAAAGCAGAAGGAGAAAAGCAGTTACCTACAAGGGAGTTCCCATCAGACTGTCAGCTGATTTCTCAACAGAAACTTTGCAGGCCAGAAGGGAGTGGCAAGAAAATTTCTAAGTGATGAAAAGCAAGAACCAACAACCAAAGGTGTCATTTAGAATCAAAGGACAGATGAAGAGTTTCCCAGACACAAAAAGAAAAGCTAAAGGAGTTACCTGAAACAGTATTACATGAAATGTAATACCACTGAACCACTATTACATGAAATGTTAAAGAATTTCTTTAAGAAGAAGAAGAAAAAAGATGAAAAATATGAGCAATAAAATGGCAATAAATACAAATCTATCAATAATTGAAACTAAAAAACAAAATAAATGAGCAAGTAGAACAAAATAGACTTAGATAGAAAGAACAGTTGTACAGTTGCCAGATGGAATTGGGGAGATGGGTGAAAAAGCTAATTTTTCTTCAGAGATTTTTCTTTCTTTCTTTCTTTTTTTAAATAATCCTCACCCAAGGATATTTTTCCATTGATTTTTAGAGAGAGTGGAAGAGAGAGGGAAAGACAGAGAGAAATATTGATGTGAGAGAAACACATTGATTGGCTGCCTCCTGCACATGCCTTGACCAGGGCCTGGGCCAGGGAGGAGCTTGCAGCCAAGGTACATGCCCTTGACTGGAATTGAACCTGGGACCCTTCGGTCTTCAGGCCAATGCTCTATCCACTGAGCCAAACCGGCTAGGGCTCTTCAGAGATTTCTATCAAGGATCTCTGTGACCTTTTAAAATGTTTTATTGTTGTTGTTATGGTTATCATCTCCAAAAGGAGGATCAAAAATACTCCAACATCTTGAAACTAACAAAATGGGTCTTGCCTAATGTGTATTATAAAAAATTAATAATATATAAAAATTACATAACAGCAATAGGCCAAATAGGAGAGAAGTTGAGAAAACTTCTAAAAAAATGAACAGAAAATCAGCCTTACCTATAAATGCACTGTGAGTAAAAACTATAATAATTGCAACAGTTAAAACCAACAAAATAGGACAGAACAAATACACAAACAACCAGTAACACAAGAGAGAAAAAAGAAAGTAAAACAAAAAACACTGAAACTGGGAGAGAATTCCTATTTTCTCTTTCAGTTGCCAGTTAAATGGGCTCTCAAGTTAGTGCTGCTTTTCCCCAATGTTGAACTGAATTTTATTAAAACAATTCTTTCAGGTTTTATAAACAGAAGCTTTGAGCCCAGTAGGAGCTGTACCAAGAACTCGTTTTGAAAGTCCAACTCAATGCTCTTGTCAGATTCACTCTACGATGAAATGACCAGATGCTCAAACTTGTGCCCTAGTTCTCTCAACAGGAGTTTTCTCACAGGACACTCCAGGCTGCAGGCAAATGGACTATGGTTTATCTACCCTCCCAATTTCTCAGAATTGAGAAATGTGATTCTCACTTTGATCCCATCAATTTCTCTCAGCTACTTTGATCAACATGTGATGGTTCTTCTTTAAAGAAAAATATGTTATTTTATTTTAGAGTAAAGTTATTAAAATCTAAAATAAGTTTAGTCAAACTTAAAATTTTAGAAGTTTAGGGAAATATTTTAAACATGATTACAAAACAAGATAACAGAATGTACCTATGTTTATGCTTAGGCAAGAGGGAAAATACAATAACAATTGAACAATATTGAGATTGCTGGGATTATAGAAGTCATAATTTTTTTAGGTGAGTTAATTTCTAAAACATAAATATTCATATCCTAAACTTGCCATGGAAATTCTAGAAAATTCAAGAATATACCATACTATTTCATTGACTTCAGATGTTTCTAAATATTTATCCATTATAGTATAAACACTGCCAATATGGAAATGGTTAAAGCAAACAAAACAGAACAAAACAAACATTTAAAAACAAACAAACAGTAACACGAGTTAAAAAATAAAAGTAAAGAAAAAACCCCCTGAAACTTAGAGAGAATTCAATTTGGTTATCCAATTTGTTGAAATATAATTGTCCATAGTAGTTTCTTATATTTCGACAGTATCAGTTGTAATGTTTCCTATTTAATTTCTGATTTTATTTGAGCCATCTTTCTTTTTTCCTTAGTCTAGCTAAAGTTTCATTAATTTTGTATATATTTTCAAAAAATGAGTTCTGTCCTGGCTCAGTTGGTTGGCGTTTGGTTCTGTGCACCAATAGGTTCAATAGTTTGTTAGTTTGTGGCTTGATTCCTAGGGCACACACCTAGGTTGTGAGTTCAATCCCCAGTGGAGGCAACAGATCAATGTTTTTCTTTCACATCAATGTCTCTCTCTCTCTCTTTCTCTCTCTGTCTCTTCCTCTCTCTCTGAAATCAATAAACAGCCCGTTGTGGTGGCTCAGTGGTTGAGTGTTGACCTATGAACCAGGAGGTCATGGTTCCATTTCCGGTCAGGGCACATGCCTGAGTTGCGGGCTTGATCCCCAGGGTGGGACGTGCAGGAGGCAGCCAATCAGTGATTCTCTCTCATCATTGATGTTTCTATCTCTCTCTGCCTCTCCTTCCTCTCTGAAATAAATAAAAAATATTTTTTTAAAAATGAGTTCTTAGTTTCATTGATCTTTTCCATTCAATTCATCATAAAGAAGTGTTAAAATGTTATGGATTTAAGGCTCTTGAAATGTTCATATTTGGTTTGGGGGCTTTCTGATTTGTTTAGATAGATTTCTTTACCCCAGGTTATAAAAATATATCCTTTATTTTCTTAAATTTTCCATTTAGAACTCTGGGCCATTTAAAATTTATTTTTTGGTATGGGTAGATATTGAATCTGGGTTATTTTTTCTAAGCGTTATTTAATTTTGCCAGTATCACTTATTATATAGTCTTTTCTGACTCCACTGCTATGAATGCTATCTTTCCTCTTGCATCTTATGTTACAAAATCCTGAAGCCCATGAGAGCTTACATGATTTTCCTCGAGCATGCTTCTCAACTGCGAGTGACAGTCTCCCAGGGAACTTCTGGCATTTTTGGTTGTCACCACTAAGGAGTGCTACTGAACTCTAGTGGCAGAAGCCAGGGATGCTGCTAAACATCCTACATACAATACATAGTTACAGACTCCCCCCAAAAGAGTTTACTGACCCAAAATGTCAATAATGCTGAAGTTGAGAAATCTTGGCCTAGAATCATCACAGTATATGAATATATGTCTGAAAAACAAATGCTCCTTAGAAAAGGTATATGAACCACATTTGTTTTTTTTTAAAGTCAGTATTTAAAATCATTGAGTTTTTGTTAACTGTTGATAAATCCTTCAAAAGTTGTTTTGCATATGAGCTTGTCATCATTGATTTAGTAGCTGTCTGTTTTCCAGGTGAGAAAAATGTGACTCATTGGCATTTCTATGAGATGCTCCCAGTTCTCCACAAATGCAATATTTTATTCTCATCAGCTATAGAACACATTCATCCTCTGGACAATAAATGCATATCCTGATTGTGTTTTTTTCTTTTCAAAGCACTGACTTTAATAAGACCAGGGAGTGATGAGGTTTTCCACCTTGACTTTACCTCTCCTGTTTTTTCCACCTTGACTTTACCTCTCAGTCTGTTTTTAAGAAAAACAGACCGAGAATCATCTGATGGATGATGCTGATTTCAGTTCACACCCTGAACATCTGAGGCAGAGTCTCCAGGTTTAGGGCCCAGGACTTCGTATTTTTATCAGGTGAACCACATGGTTCTAAGGAAGAGCGGGATTTGGGGGCTGCTGTGTGCTGCACTCAGATACCCTGCCTGCAGGGAGAGAAGCTCTAATCCCTGTGAGGCAAATTGCTCCATCTCCTTCCTCAGAGAGGAATTTGGTCCCAGATAGTGAAATAAAACTTTATTTTAGGGTTAAAGTTTTCCCTGTATCCACCAGCATAAAAAATGTAGTAAGATGATGATTTATAATAACTACAACCTCTATGAGGCTTTAAAATTGTATAAGGAGAAACTAGGGATTGAAGAGACAAACATTCAGGTTACTCATTCTAATTGCTAATGATGGTTTATGTTAGCTCAGTTTTCTTTCATCTCAAAGTGGACCTAAACATGCACTTTGTTTTATTAAGTTTCATAAAAATGGGCTACATTTAACAACAAATACAGCAAAGCCTAGAGAATAAGATCACATGGATTTGGTCTGAATGATGCCAAGTGGAAAATGCCATGAATCATCTAATGCTACTCATGGAGGCATTTTGCAAATACTCTGATAAGTAGAACGTTCCATGGTTTATTGAGGAGTTTAGCATCCAGGCCTCTCAATCCAGAGATAACAGAGGCACGAGAACAGCAGTAAAGGGCCTGAACTTCCATAATTGCTTCAATGGCAGCAAAATAATTTTCTTAAGTACCCTTAATAGTTAGAAAACAAAATGGTTATTTTGGAGTCTTTCTATCTTGGCATTCCCAGTGTTTCAGCTTTCCATAGTTCCATTATAGTTATCATCAAAATAGTTTCCCAAAGGATGTGCCAAAAAAGAAAGAAAATTTGAAGTGAATTGACAAAATAAAATATTT